TCGTCCTTTTGTCGACGGAAGTGCCAGATGGCACGTTAAGTTGCCACGAAATCAATTCTTGTGTGAAATCTTTAATTACGTGGAAAAAAACTTAACTCATTATTATTCACGTCATTTTAATTAATTTATATATTAAAAAATTTAAAATTCCTTAAATACCCCATCTTCATCTTCCATCCCCTCTCGTCTCTCTCTATCCTCAGATGTCTCCTCATCTTGCAACCCAATCAGCACCGATTATCCCTCATTGCTCCGGTCATCCCTCATTGCTCCGGTCATCCCTCATTGCTCCGATCATCTATTACTACTTCAATCACCATCTACTTCTTCCCCAAACCTCCTCTCTAATAGAACCCAAATCTAGTTCCTCGCACAATAATAATGACCAATAGATCTGATTCAAAAAATCAATTCCTCTGCAAATGTATACTAGATCTGTAAAGGAAAATGTAAAAAACATAACATCCCTTCAATCAACACCAACAGTAACTAGATCTTGAAATTCAAACAATCAGAAGCCACACAAAACTCTAAATCGCATACCAAGGTAGCCAAGCATGACTGCAGCCAATAAAGAAACAAAAGAAAAAACCCAGGTGGGTTCGACTCAAACCCAGGCCCTGGGTTCGGAGCCTAGGCGTGCTGGGTTAAACCCAGGGCCTGGGTTCGAGGAACCCAGGCGCTGGTGCTGGGTTCCTTCGAACCCAGTAGGGAGGGGAAGGAGAAAAGGAAAGAGAAGGAGAAAAAAAAAGGAAAGGAAAGAAAAAAGAAAGAAAGGAAAGAAAAAAGAAAGAAAGGAAATTTTTATTTATTAAATTATATTTTTGGTGCCAAGTCACAATATTTTTATAATTAAAAATGTCACTTCACTTGTTTTATTTCCAGGTAATATTTAATATTAATAAAAATTGAATTTGTTAACGGAAAATTTTGTCATGTCAGCACTTAACTGACAGAAGGATAAAATTGGTTCCAAAAATTAAAGTTCAAGGATTTTTTTAGTACTTTTTGAAGTTCGAGGGTAAATTTAGTTCAAAAATAAAAGTTGAGGGACTGAACCGGGGATTTAACCATTGATATTAAGTAATTTCATTCAGCTATGTCATAAATTGAACATTATTTCAAGAGTAGATACTTTAAGTTCCAGTGAGCGAACCTTCGAGTGCATGAGGAATTAATGGCTTCAGTCTGTATCTTTGTTGGCATTTTCCATCCCAAGCTATCGATGCTTCTACCAATTCATCACACAAGCCCAGAGCTTTAAACGTCTTGGGTTCTTCCTTTCTTCCAGCCATGGTTTCTATACTTTCTTCAGCCATTTTCCGCTACGAATACACAGAACAGAAAATTAATTAACTCTAAAATTCACGTTCAGGAATGAAAAAAGATTGCAGGACTGCACTCGTCCATTAACATCGAGATTGATGTGTCGCGCCGAGCATCGGTTGGCGCATTGGCGGTCAGTGAGTTTCTTAAACGACGCAGTTTTTATTTCCTAGTAAATAAATCCTAATTTTTTACTAAATATATGGGGAAAATCTAATAGTTAATAAAAGATATTTAATAGTAATACCAATGGGGTGGCTCAATGATTAAAAGTTTAAAACTTTAAATTGGAGATTTTAAGTTCTAATCTTGAATCAAGTGGGGAGGGATTTTAGAATAAGGTAAAGTTATCTGTTTTTATATATATAGTCTATAATTAGATATACAAAAAAATATTTAATAGTTAAAAATAAATGTTATTTATATTATAAAGTTTTTAATCTATTTCACTAAAATCACCTGCAGATAGTCGTTATCGAAATAGTAATTATCCAAATACCAAATACCATATGGTACGTAGTTCGTTTATGCTTCCAGCTGATTTTGATACCAGTTAGCTATCCTCTTCAGGATTTTCATTCTTTTTTTTAAACTATTAAAATTTGGGGCAGAGAAAAGGAAATATTTGCATAGTATTATTGTAATTGAAACCTTGATATCTATTAAGGTATTAGATACACCAATCAATTGACCTACAAGACTTGGTGTTCTCTTTAAGATTTCTTAATTGACAAAAAATTGGGGTTGGACCTGGATGGTTGTTACTCTGAGAGAATGAAAAAATAAAGAAAATGAAAAGGTTATCGATAGAGCAAATGAGCTCCCTTCATCCCGAGACCAAAAGGATTAAGGCCAATCTCATCTCTAGGTTCAAGCAAACCCTTAGTCTGCATTGCTATGCTATGTCTCAGTGCAGCCAGGGGTATCCATGAGCTAACAGCTGTAGTTCGCCCTTTACCTTCTCTCAGTTTTTGAGATGAAAAGAGCTCATCCATTTTGACTCATTTTAATCCCTAACAATATGTATAGACATTAAACTCTTTGCCTTTTTTCTTATGTTTATATTATCTTCATTAGGATTTCTAATTGGAGAAAAAAAAAAATGAGGCTGGAAGAAAAAGACATGTGCTTCAATAATGATAGAATATTGTATTTTACATAAATAAATTTATATATAAAAATAGTTGAGAGCATAAGAAAAAAAGTTAAGAAAATAAAAAGGTTATAAATTTAGCAAATAAGCTCCCTTCATATCCCAAAACCAAAAGACCAAGGCAACCTCATCTCCTGGAGGCTCATGCAAACCCTTAATTAGCCTGCACTGCCATGCCTTGGTGTAGCCCGGGGAATCAATGAGCTAGTAGCTGTGGTTGACCTTTTAGCTCTTCTTAGCTTTTGAGATGAAAAGAGCTCATGGATTTTCTCTTAACCCCTAGGGTCCAAACATGCATTAAACCCTTTTCCTTCCCTTATGCTTATACTATCTCATTAGGATTCTCTAATTGGAAAAAACGTGGGGTTGGAAGAAAATGGCATGTGCCCCAATGAGAATAGGAAATTGTATTTACATAGATAAATTTATAGATAAAAGATAATTGAGAGCATAAAAAAAAAAAAAGAAGAAGTAAAGAAAATGATAAGGTTATAGATAGAGCGAATGAGCTCCCTTCATCCCAAAACCAAAAAGATCAAGGCAACCTCATCTCCAGGCTCATGCAAACCCTTGGTCTGCACTGCTATGCCTTGGCGCAGCCACGGGTATCCATGAGGTAGCAGCTGCGGTTCAGCCTTTACCTTCTCTTAGTTTTTGAGATGAAAAGAGCTCATCCATTTTGACCCATCTTAACCACCAAACATATACATTAAATCCTTTGCCTATACTATCCTCATTAGGATTTTCTAATTGGAAAAAAACATGGGGTCGGGAGGAAATGATATTTGCCCCAATAAGGATAGAAGATTATATTTTATGTAAATAAATTTACAAATCAAAAAGAGTTTGAGAGTGTAAAAAAAAGAAAGGAAATTAACTGAAAGGGTTATAGATAAAGAATATGAGCTCCCTTCATCACAAAGCTAAAAGGATCAAGGACACCCCATCTCCAGGCTCATGCAAACCCTTAGCTTGCATCACGATCCCTTGGTGCAACCACGGGTATCCATGAGCTAGCAGTTGTGGTTCACCCTTCAACTCCTTTCAATCTTTGCGATGAAAAGAGCTCATCCATTTTGGTCCTTCTTCACCCAAACACACTTACCAATATACAATAAACCTTTCCCTTCTGTATATATAAACCCCTGGATCATGTTCCAAACTTGCATCAAGCTAGCGCGAAACCTTTCGGTCTGTGCATGTAAACTCAGAGTCCCCCCCTCCCTCCCCCGTTTATAGCTAGCCTCAGCACCCTGTTTTCACTTAGCCCACTGATTTTCAAGTGGGGTAAAAGCCTAAAACAGGTAAATCTTCAGGATTGGATTCTTTCATTAATAACAGGTATCATTACAAGCCTGCTTTTTAGCTTCTTTCCGTTTTTTAAGCCAAAAAAGGGAGATTAATTAAGATTTAAGGATGTGATGTAAATGGATTCCATAAAAAATTACTGTAAATTTTGTTATTTTACCACCTCTTGGGTTTGGTACGAGTATGGCATAAAATGTTCATTATAGAATAATTTTTTCCGATTAATGTTTATTTTATATATAGATTAATTCATTATCTAGTTCATCAATAAACATTATATATTTAATAAATGATTTGGAGATACTACCATCGTCCAATTTAAAGGATCATTTATTTGATAATCATTTGAATGTTAAGATAATTTGAATCAAATATACGTATCTAAAGTGGTCACCATGAATTAATTTAAAATTATTTGGATATACGACATTAATTTTTCAATGATAGGCTTACCAAAAACAAAAAAATTTCAATGATATATACGTTTGATTCAAATCATGTATGTAGATTGGTCATCATGCATTAATCCAAAATTATTTGGATACACTACAAGAATTTTCCAATGATACATATATTTGATCCAAATCACTTATCTAGATTAGTTATTATGAATTAATCCAAAATTATTTAGATATAGTATAATAATTTTTCAATGATACGTGTATTTGATTCAAATTACCTTAATATTCAAATAATTATCAAATCATTTATATTTTAGTTAAAAAATGCAAATGTTCAATTTAACAATTATTTTTGCAGATATTGTAAATTTTTTTTAAAGATATACGTACTTGATTTTAATAAGTAAATTTAAACGATTATCAATTAATTCATAATTCGATCTGTAATTATAAATAATTTATTTATTTATTTCCAAACAAACTATAAGAAATTTCATTAAAAAAGAAGAAGAAGAGGAACGATATGTCTAACCCAAACAAGCTCTTATAAAGTTTGAAAGTCAAAGTTGGTCAATGACTGACTTCCTAACAATATTAAAGGGCAATATTGTCCAAGTACCGGGTTTCGATTTACCAATGAGAAAAAGAAAAAGAAGTAGAAGAAGAAATGGGCTTTCCTGGCCAATTGGGATAGGAAGTCCAAGAAGCATTTTGGGCTTAAAAATCCAGAATCGGAATATAGATTGAACGAAGGGCTTAGCTTCAAAGATCCATGATATAAATTCTTTCTATTGACGCAAGTATTGATGTATATTCAAGTATATCGGCCATAACGTAGCTTCTGGTTTCTGTCTTTGATCCCAGATTCTGAAAAAGGGATGCTGAAATTCATTCTGTATGTGAAGAATTTGACGACCAGAGGTTCGTTTTCCTCTACGCATTCCCTTTCTGCATTTTGTATCATAACTCTGCTTTTGTTACTGAGAAAAGCAATGTGGATGTCGATGGAATCACTTTACTTTTGAATAATTGTTGTTTATGGGAAATATGAAGTATAATTTGTGAAAATTGGGTTTTGATGCTCTTTAATTGCTTTTCTTTATCTGTGGTTTTGCATTCTATGTTGAATTTTAGTTGATTCTCTTTTGTCTCTTTTTTGTCTTGGCTTGATTCTGGTAACATTCTGCTCGATTTTTTCTGCATACGATGAATTTTGCTGTGGGGTTTTGAAATTTAATCAATTTTTGAAGGTTTTTCCTGTGTTTTTGCAGGATAAGGAGAAAAGTTTCCGGCTTTGTAGAGTTTTGAGTTAAAATTGTTGGTACCCATATACGGTTTTCGATAATGAGTGGTGCTCCAAAGAGATCTCATGAAGAGGTTGGTAGTCATTCTGCTTCTGCAAAGTATCCACATGAAGATCCCAGTGCATACCCAAAGGTGACATCTTCTTCTGTTTCTAATGATTACCACCATTCTCCTGCCTATGAGACGGGTCAAGATGGTAGAACAGCCAAGATACCACGTACTGAATCCCGTGATTCGGATAGAAGGTCGCCTCTGCATTCAAGTTATCGATTGCCTTCATCTGCTTCAAATGATTCACATATGGACTCCCATCCTAGTGGTTCGGATAGTAGGATGGAGTCTCGGGAGCTTAGGGTTGAGAGCCGAGAGCCAAGGGCAGAAACGAGGGAGTTTCACAGTGAGGCAGTGAAGAGGGAGTATCAAAGTGGAAAAAATGAAAAGGATGTTAGGTTTGAGAATAGAGGAGAAGATGTTAAAGATGTGAAGTATGACAGGGAGAACTACAGTGATCCAAAGGGTGACATGAAGGTTGAAAAGGATGGTTATGGTGGGTCTAGTAGTCACTTGGGTTGGAAGGAATCAAGGGACTACCATAGAGGAAAAAAGCATTCAGAAGCCCCAGTGGGAGGCATGGATCCATGGCAAATGCCACGTGGTAGTACACCAGGGCTAATTGAAGTTGGAAAGGAAGGCTCTGCTGCTGAAGAAAGGGATCGTGTGGAAGTGCACGAGGCTGTTGGTGAGAATAAATTTGATCCAAAAGGTGAGGATAGGTTTAAGGACAAGGAAAGGAAAAGAAAAGAAGGGAAGCTTCGTGACTGGGGAGATAGAGATAAGGAAAGAAGTGATCGCAGGAGTAGCAGCATGCCAGCAGGTAATAGCAGTGGGGATGGTAAAGAATCTGCAAGAGAGGAGAGAGAGGCTGACAGATGGGAAAGAGAGAGGAAGGATTTGAAGGACAAGGAGAGACTGAAAGAGAAGGAAAAGGATCATGTCAAGAGAGAATTGTTGAATGGAACAGAGAAAGATGGATTGCCCAATGAGAAGGAATTGGGAGATGGAACGGCTAAAACATCTGAGCAAGAGAATACTACATCTGAGCAGAGAAAACAAAAAGAGTTGGATAACTGCAAAAATGTTGATAGAGAAGCTAAAGAGAGGAAGCGGGAAAGAGATGTTGACACAGAAGGAAACAGATCTGAAAAGCAAAGTAGGGGCTATGAAAAAGAATCTGATGACGGAAGTGTAGATGCTGAAGGGGCTAATGAAAAGGACAGGGAAGGTTTTAATTATGGAGTCCAGCAGCGTAAAAGGCGGCCAAGAGGCAGCCCTCAAGTGACAAATCGTGAGGCCCGTTTTAGGTCCCATTCTCAGGAAAACGAAGGGTACGTATTCATAGTATTTGGTTGTTTATTTAATTGTAATGCATTAATACTGTTTGTACATCTTTTTCTTCAAATTGTGGAGTTGGTGTTCTTGAAGACTTCTATGCATGTGTAAGCCTTTACATGATGAATTGAAATCTTCTTGGCCACTTTCAAACATGATGATATAAAGTTATTGAGATGTTTGCAAAGAAAAACCCATGTTTTTTATGTTGATTCTGCATTAATGTTGGTTTCTCTAGCTGGTAGGTGGTTGCTATTGCACTGAAGAATATATTTAACAGAAGGAACGTCTCTTATTTCTGTCACTGTACCATTTAATCAATAGGCATATGAAATTTTAGAAAAGATTTAAGGAGTATTTTTCTTCAAATGTCATTCATTATACCACCTCTTTTTTCCACAGTCAAAACTCAATATTTTTCTTCAGATTAAGGCCTCCATAGCTTCTTATGTTTCTTCCTAGATTAAGTCTTCTTTCTTCATTTTTCCTTGTTAGTCTTAGACTTTCTAACTTGGTTTAGACTTTCTAATTCAGTTTAATTTTATTTTTTCCTTTGCAGATCTCAGGGTAAGCTGTGGTTTGATGCTTTAAGGCTATACAATTTATGGGCTGAAAGTTTGTTTTCATATTTAATTGAACTGGAAATTTTGACTTGGTGAAGTGTTAACTGAAACATTTATGAAAAAATAATTATTTTAGTTTGTGCTGCCTTTACTTCAACCAGATTTAGTAGTTGTATTCCATATGCCTATGTATTTTGTTTGCATTGGAATCTGTACTACTTTTTGTCCTTTATCTTTCACCACATTATTTGCTTTATTTGATGAAAGCTGGAACTCACATGTTTTTTTATCTAGCTTTTGCCCTTCTGATTGAGAAGCTGTGTAGCTGTTGCTTGATACTTGGGCACCTTGCATAATAAACATCACAAGCATGTAAGAAACCCAAGCTGTAGGAAAATGGATTATGTAACTCAAGAAAATGGCACTCTAAGTGCCAAAGTTCTATGAGATTTTAGGAGCTCGAGAATGAACTATAGAAGAACTGGATTGGATGTCTCATAGTGATAGAAACTAGAATGTTTTTTTTTTCTTTTTTTGCCAAATAGAACTTCCTTTTCATAAAACAGTGTTAACAGTAAGCGTCTAGTCATTTCCTGGGAAGCCCTTAGACTGTGATTGCTAAGAGTTTTGAAGATTCAAAGCCCAACCTGTACATTGAAACCTGGCAATAGTACACTCAAGAACTAGGAAGAAGCATATTTTGCCTGTGTATCATTAAAAATTTGAGGGCATTTAAATTGGTGAAAGTTAAATATGTCTGGTCAATGATCGAATGGTTGTATGTTGAAGATGATTCTTTTGTCTATTTTATGTCAGAATGGTAATACAAACTTTGTTCAGTGAAGGGAAAAGTGAAGGGAAATTTGGGTGAATTCAATGCTTGTGAGCTATTTGTTAAGTATTTTGAGACTCTTTTCTTAGTTGCTGCTGGGAACAAAAAGAGATTAAAACCCTGCAAACGTGATTATTTCAAACTGTATAGAAGTTTTCATTTCATCAATGGGGATTACTTTCGTTAGGTTGCTGCTTTCTCTCTTTCTTTTCTATTTGACATTTTGACTTACTAAATTTAGCTTTGAATAATAATTCCTGTTGGGAACATTGCTTCTTTTATGCTGAACATGTTCAGCATTTACATGTTTTCTTCGCATGATGTCACATTTCAATGTTGCTGGTGATTCAGGTAAAGCTGAAGTATCTTCTGTTGTCTATAAAGTTGGTGAATGCATGCAAGATCTAATTAAGTTGTGGAAAGAATATGAATCATCTCAGGCTGATAAAAGTGGTGATAGTTCTCAAAATGGTCCTACTCTTGAAATTCGTATACCTGCTGAGCATGTTACTGCTACAAATCGCCAGGTACAGTCAAGTCGGTTAATGCTTATTGTAACCATTGAGATTTTTGTTTGTTTTGTCTTGTAATTTGCTGTTGAACTCCTTCCTAGTTGCATGTGGTTGAGCATGTGATGATTTTTGTTTGTTTGTATCGTTTACACCAATTTAATATTCCCTTTCTTTTTTCTTTTTTCCTGGAGATATTTCTTGCCATCATCAGCAGATTCTGATTGTTAAACTGTTTTGCAACTTGATGAGAATCCAATGGACTTGTGAGAGAAATGTTATATGATCCTTCTAAGTTCTGTTTGTGCACTATGTGCAGGTTAGAGGCGGTCAGTTGTGGGGTACTGATATCTACACAGATGACTCTGATCTTGTTGCTGGTATGTGGTATTTTGAATAAGAAGACCACAAGTCTGGTCTTCATTTGGTCTATAAGTGATAGAACTCTTTTAAAAATGGACAGAACCTTGCATTTATGTTCAAAATTTTGCTTTCTAGTTCTCATGCATACTGGGTATTGCCGCCCCACTGCCTCACCTCCTCCACCAGCCATTCAAGAGTTGCGTGCTACCATCCGTGTCCTGCCTCCTCAAGATTGTAAGTACAAATTCAGCTTGCTGTTCTATTTATTTTAGTGCTTTTGGAATCTTGATCATATTACTTAGCAGTTGGCTCCACAATATACTCACCTTTGATATGAAATGAGTAAAATTATGAGAAGAGCTTGACACGTCTGGGCTGTGTGGTTCTGTTCAGTTTTGCCAGGGTTTTATACCCATATTTGCTGATGAGCCAAAGTTTTGAAATTTTACAATGTCTCTGTCTTTTGATATTTTTATGTATAAATCCCATGTTTTGCACAATTTTGACATTATATCATGTGATGTTTTTATTAGGCTACACTTCTAAACTTAGAAACAATGTTCGTTCCCGTGCATGGGGAGCTGGAATTGGTTGTAGTTATCGTGTTGAAAGGTGCTGCATTGTTAAGGTAACAAACAGTACTGGCTATATCTCTTATACTTAGAAAACATCTTAGATTCTTCTTTGTTTTACCTTGGAGATGGATGCATATATTTTTGGTGTTGGAATAACTCCAGTTTCTGACCCTTTTAATTTGCTAATTTATATGTATCCTATCTTTAGCATACATTTCTTTTGAGACTAATTTTACTAGCCTTGTAAATTCCTAATGCTTTTTGCTCTGTATTACTTTGATTTCAGAAGGGAGGTGGGACCATTGATCTTGAGCCTTGTCTTACACATTCATCCACTGTAGAGCCTACCCTTGCTCCAGTAGCTGTGGAGCGGACAATAACTACAAGAGCTGCAGCTTCGGTATTACTAATCATCCTTTTTTTTTCAATTTGCCTGTGGCCATGTGCTTTTAGCAGTGCTTTTTCCTCCTTCTTCCTTTTCCTTTTTTTTTTTTTTTTTTTCTGAGTTATTTCTAGCCTTTTCTTTTCTACTCATTCACTTATTTTCCTTTCCATTGGTTCTCTGGTAGCTTTTGTATATTTCTTCTCTGCTTGCTGTTTATATACCATTATTGTTTTTCTTTCTTTTAATCAATTGTCTGGTCATCTAGGGAAAAAAGAAGAGGTTTTAGCCGCAAGTGAGAAATTACTCAGCTCTAAGTTTCTAACTGAATCGTTTTGGTCCTGGTCATCAATTGAGCAAATGTGACTTTTCTTCTGCTGGTTGCATTTTTCAGAATGTTTTCTGTTGTAATTTACACATATGAGAAATGTAAAAGAATTTCCTTTTCTGTGATTGCCATCAACACTGAAATCATATCATCTGGTTGTAACTGTCATTATCTTGATTTGGTTATGTGTGTTTTTTTCTTATTTGACAAGATTAGCTTACATTAGCATATTCTTTCTTCAGAATGCATTGCGGCAACAAAGGTTTGTAAGGGAAGTTACAATACAATACAACCTCTGCAATGAGCCTTGGTAATTTCAGATCTTTGTTTGACTCTTTTTTTCTTTTTTCTTTTTTTTGTGATTTTCATGTTGCTATAGATTTTTTGTATTATTGTATCTGATTGACATTTGGAAGAAAAGTTTGAGCAAATATGATTGTTTATCTGTTTTGTTCATTTATCTTGCATGTGTATCTGTTTATCTTCTACAAATACTTTTCTCCTTAGAAATGTATTTAACTACAGTGTTATTGGGTGGCCAAAAAAGGAACTTTATGGTAACATTAGTATTCAAGATTTTTTTTGGTGTCAGATCGCACTTGTAACTCTTTCATATCAAGGGTATTTTTGCAATTGCCTGTTGACCCTGTCATGTACTTTATTTCTTCCCTCTAACCATGCTGCCACTCATGCTTACATCAACTGGGATTCATTTTCCTTTTTTCTTACTAAATTCATATTTGTCTTGTCAACACTCTGGAAAAGTTTGTGCTACTCAAATATTCATATGCTCATCAATTTCATTTCTTGTGACTTCCACAGGATAAAATACAGTATAAGCATAGTTGCTGACAAGGGTCTTAAGAAGCCCCTTTACACATCAGCACGCTTGAAGAAGGGTGAAGTTCTCTATTTAGAGACACATTCATGCAGGTAATTTGTGGATTTTATTACTTCTTCCCTGAAGTGATTGATGGTTTTGTTGTTTATAACATTGGAATGTCGAGAAGTTAAACTAGTTCTCTTAAGCCACACCGTGCTAGCCTTCATGTCAGGCAGGGCTGGAAGCCCTTTCTTTAATGCTTCTTACTGTGATTCACCTTGTGTACCTAATATCTAGAATCTGAGATTTGATAGCAAGATGTCATTTCATGCGCCAGTGTTTGCAAATGCCTAAATTTTGACATAGTAAACAGTTATGTTTATGAAGGCAACTTTAATTTATCATTTGATTACTGAAATCACTTTAATATATGGCAAGTTTTAGGTCTTCTTTATTTCTAACTTGTAAAAATCTATAGGTATGAGCTCTGTTTTACCGGTGAGAAACTGATGAAAACCACAATAGCACCTCAAGCTAATGAAGCTGAGACAGAAAAATCTCAAAACCACCACTCCCATTCCATAAATGGTGAAAAGAATGATGCAGATAACATTATGATTGATGTTTTCCGTTGGTCTCGCTGTAAGAAGCCCCTTCCACAGAAAGTCATGCGTTCAGTTGGGATCCCCTTGCCACTTGAACATGTTGAGGTAAGTCATTTCAGAACTGTACTTCTTGCTACCTCCTTGGTTGTTTGAAATAATAATAATACTAGTAAGGCATGATATTTGTTAAAGAGCAAAGTGAAAGGAGAGACAGATATTCAATTTTCTGGATTGCTGCTGAGCAATCTGCAAAACAATAGAATCTATTTAGAACTTAGAAGAAGCATTTCAGGTTGTGGTATTTTCTTTCTTCGCCTGTTGCTTGTTCCCTCCGCACACTGATTTTGTTCTGACTGTAAAGGTAATAGAGGAGAATCTCGACTGGGAGGACGTGCAGTGGTCACAAACAGGTGTTTGGATAGCTGGAAAAGAATACACACTTGCACGGGTGCATTTTCAATCTTCTAACTAGCTGTTGTTCTAATGTTTTCTGTGTTACATGTACCATAACTTCATGTTTTACATTATTGAATCTGACCTGTAAACCATGTCCGAGTGTGAAATTATATAGATACTGTATTATTGGGCTCATCTCTTCGGCTGGAGTTGGCTGGAGAGGATGTCACTTTCAGAAATAGAATGTCAGTGTTGTGCTCTATTTTTGCAACTTAGGGGTTATGGTGGCAATTTCCCCCTATACTTACCGGAACGTGGGCATTTTTTTCCTCGTAAAATTTTGTGCAAAATTTTACCCAACGTGTGGATCCCTGCAGGAATCCCTGTTTCCTGTGGAAAATTTAAAAAATTTATTGAATCTAACCCAACTTAGTATTAAACTCAACCAAAGATTATATCCATTACTTTCCTCTAATTTTAGTCAAACAAAATTTAGTAACTTTAAAGTTTAAACTAAACTCATCCTAACACGTTTTCTTGACCTAACAAACTACTTGACCCCGTAGGGTCAATTGCGGGGTCTAAGAGGTATGCTACTTCTCTCTATCTCATCTATTTGGAAAAGAAAAGGAGATGTTAAGGTTTTGTGTTGTATTTTATTCATTTTGTAGTTCGTTCGTATGTGATTCACTACGGCGTGCATGCAGTATATTCAGGGACCTAATCTGTTTAGAAAAATGACCTTTTTTTCTGCTTGTTGCTTCAGTTGTTAGAACGTTCTTAAGTTAGTTTATGTATATTTTAAAATTAATTTCTCTCTAATTTGATTAAAAGTAAGTCATTCATGTTAAAATTATGAAATTCATGGGAAACAACTTTTTCATTATCCCCTCTAAGAATTTGAGTCATGCTCAATAAAGTGAAGAACAAATTTTTTTATTAATTAAGTCGTAATTCTTTAGATAAAAAATAACTTTTGAAAGTATCCTTCAAAAAATCAAAATTTACTAAGAAATAATTTATTTAAATATATAAAATAGAGACTAAAAGAGCATATATAATAAAAAATTTTCTTCTATTATTTTGTTAAAAAATATAATAAAAATAGAACTTTATCACCATTAAAGCGATATATTAAAAAAAAAGAGCAAGCTGGTCGATACAAGTTCTTAAATTTTTTTTCCCCAACTAATGGGCATTGTTTTCAATGTTTGCAGTCATCCTTCATTGCTATTGGATTTTAAATACAATCAC